AATGAATATTATTCTCATTTGTTAGAAAGTTGGGTGTTGACTGAATTCAAAGTCAACTTCAAAAAATCCAATCGTTATTTCTTTGTCTTTTTCTGTTTAATAGGTATTATTGGAAAGTGGCATCTAGGGCTGCACCTATCATCAAACTCAGATTTCCACTTCCACCCTTTGAAGCAAGGTTTCCATTATTTTTATGGTCTGCCTCTCACTAACTTAAGAACTTGTGAGTCTGGTCAGTATCTTATAAACCTTGTTTATCCTGGGTTGAATCCAAAGAACATTCTTGCTTCTGCGAGTGTTATTGTAGCAACACTATATATTTTCTACCTGACTGGTCTACTAGATAAGTCTGTTTTTATTTTCAATGCAACAATAAGTCTTCTCATCTGTTTTGCAATAACTGGCTGGTTAACAATACCTCAAAGACTGAACTGCTTTGTACTGAAAAACTATGAAGTTGTGGAGCAACCAACCATTTTGGAAAACTTAACAATTAGGTTTACAGATGAAGCAGTCAACTTTATCCGTGCAAACAAAGAAAGCCCCTTCTTATTGTACATGTCATTTGCCAAGGTACACACTGCTTTGTTCAATACACGGCCATTCACAGATCACAGTGATCATGGTCGCTATGGTGATAATGTGGAGGAAATGGATTGGAGTGTAGGTCAGATCATGGCTGTGGTTCAAGAACTGGGTTTGAAGGAAAACACATTTGTTTACTTTACATCTGACAATGGTCCTCATCTGGAAGAAATCAGTGACACAGGTGAATATCATGGCGGCTGGCATGGTATCTACAAAGGAGGTAAGATGTCTCAAACTCATAAGATGGCTGTATACTAAAATGTTTTTTTGTACTAGCCAGCTCTATTGTGTTGTTCCAGAAAATATTCATACCTTCCCCACGGAAGGGATTTTCTGCGAGACCCCCCACCCCTTTCAAATTCCAATTAAGCTTGATTCATTACTTTAAATAATTTGGTCTCAGAGAACCTCCCACCCCCCAGGAAAGTCCAGTTTCTTCTGTGAGGGGGTGGGGTGGGTGGTATGGATATTTTCTGGAACTGGACATAAATGATTCACAGGTAGCCTAATTTTAACTAATTTTGCAGAAAAGTAAAAAACTCTCTCAGTCATTTTATCCAGTCTTAGATAAAGACCTTGGGTTCTACATGATAAATGTTAAGAACAAATACTTAACAATTATTCACTGAAGACGAAGTGAACATTGGTGAATATTCACCAATGTTCACTGAGCCTGAGGCGATTAATTGTTTAAGTATAATTTTCAGAGGTGAATATCGAGGACTACAAAATTTGCTTGCGATTGATGCAACCACTGGATTTAAGAAAAACCTTGAATACAAGTTCTTGAAAAGATTTTTGGTCCAAGTGTGACAGTAATCATTTTGAAAATTCTCCATCCTTTCAAATGTCCTGGACTTGGAGTGATATCGTTCAAATAAATGAAAACTTCATCAAGCAACTGTCTGCCATGTTTACTTGTCGGGATGGCAAAGGTGGCCAGCTTAGTAACCAAGCTCTAGTGGGGTGAATACAGCATCATATGATGAGCTTTTCGACCAATCAAATGTCCAATTCTTGTATTCACCTCTGGAAATTATACTAAATAGAGGATATTACATGGTGGCGAGAAGATATGAATTTTATGTGCGAGTGGCAAGAACTATATCTCACGAGTGAGCTATAGTTCTTGCCATGAGAACCTAAAATTCATATCTTCGAGCTAATGTGTAATGTTTTTTTTTTATATAGACATACTGATGACGACGTTTTTGATGATTTTCTGAAGATTTCCGACCACTCTCTGAAGATTTCCGAAGATTTTCCAAAATTATTCCGAGGGCAAGACGAATGTTTCTAAACATTTTCCAAACATTTCCAAACTTTTCCGAGGATTACCAAAGATTGCTGAAGATGACCGAAGAAGATCTGAAGATGTTTCGATCATACACCAACAAATTTAAGTGTTGTTAAAGGGACAAAAGAAAAATGTTATCAAAAATGATATTTTCACATGTGAGGATATCATATCATTTTTATCAATTTGTTACCACTTGGTATACCACTGACATATAATAATACAAATTGACAAATTAATTTTAATTGTGTTTTTTCTATTTAATTGACAGGCAAAGGGCAGTGCTGGGATGGTGGTGTTAGGATGCCCACTGTACTATCATGGCCTGGTCATATCCCAGCTGGGATCTCACTTGACAAGCTCACCAGTAGCATGGACTTATTACCCACAATTGCCAAGCTAACTGGTGCAGACCTTCCAGAGGACAGAGTCATCGATGGAAAAGACCTCTTACCTCTTCTGACCAACATGAGACAGGAGTCTTCTCATGATTTTATTTTCCATTATTGTGGAAATCAGGTCCATGCTGTGCGTTATCATCCAAAAAACACTGACGCTGTCTGGAAGGCTCATTTTATGACACCAAAATGGAATGAGGGAACTGACAGCTGCATCGGAAAAGGCGTATGTGGTTGCCATGGAGATGAAGTTAACATGCATGATCCTCCTCTTCTTTACAACATGACAGATGACCCTGCAGAGAGCTCTCCTATTCCTGTTAACATGCCCAAGTACAAAGAACTGATGAAAGATATTTACCCAGCTCTCAAAAAACACAAAGAGAGTGTTGAAAGTGTCCCTACCCAGCTTGGAAGGATGCAGAATTTTGTTCATCCCATGTTGCAGATGTGTTGTAATTTTCCCTACTGCACTTGTACGGAAACTGGTAGAGAACTTGAGCATTATCCTAAAGATGTTTGAGAAAGTCACTGACCAATGTGTAAGAAACTTAAGTACCCACACATAAAAGCAATGACTGGGTTTTGGGGTTTGCATCATGGAGGCAATTTGACCTTACAGTCTCATCGCATCAAGTCTTGTTTTCCCCTACAAAGATAGGATCAACCGTTCCCAAATGTCAAAAGTTTTATATATACGAGTGTCTCAATGAGGTAGTGGCTTTTACGGCTATCGGTTACATTTTAAGCATTTTTACGCCTGACGGTTCAATTTTTGGCCCTTTTACAGCCAACGCTTATTTTTTTCCCCGTTACGATTAACTGAAATTTCAATAACTAATTGCCATTGTTTTACATTATAATATAATAATTAACTGGCATATAATAGTTAATTTCCATTGGTGTGAAGCATGGCAAAATCATGAAAAGTACAGGGAACATTCTCGGTTGACAAAAAATGAAATTTATGTGGTCCACAAATACATAACAGTCCTGTACTGCGGGACTTAGAAATTTGGAACTTTTAATTTCTAAGAAGTAAAACAAGGAATAATGTTTGCCTGTGTGTGGTTAGGTGTTATAAACATGAACTGTTCTTGTTGTTCTGTTGAAGTAATGATTGTCATGCTTCTTTTTACATTTGTGATGAGGCTTACCGTTTTACGCCCTCTTAAACATCATAACGTGTCCACGCCTTGACCTGCCTCCCTGAGCTCATTATCACCGCTCTACTAGTAGTAATCATAGATTAAAGAGTGCGTTCGAGTATTGGTAGGTTTGGTATGTTAAAAAAGCATAACTTCTAGGAACAGCATTTGTGCCTGAGCTGTTAGGTAGACGTGAAATTGGCCTTCCCTCCAGTAAGGGCGAAAACAAATGAATTGATCGCAGAACACGTTGTTTCGTTGATGAAATAGGCGTTGCCTCTTAATTGACAGATTTATTTGTTGACAAGAATCGTGATTTACATAAATTATATACATTGATTTAAAGGCGTTAGGTTATTGTGTTTCAAACCAGTTTTTCAGTAGAATCGAAGTGAGAAAGAAGTTATTTAGTCTGTCTGTTAAACCCGCTTACCTGGAGAATCTGTTTGGTAAACCCGCTCACCTAGAGAATCTGTTAAAGACTCAGTCCTAACCCGTAAAGTGCGACTGTTGTAACTACCTGCCACAGAAGTAAGTTAAAATTCAAGTTTTGTGAATTTAGCTTCGAGATAAAGATTTATTTGTGTTTGTTCTAATTGCGAATTATAAATGTATTTCTTTTAGATCGAATAATTATTAAACCGTGGCTTGATATTATGCTGTTTGTGGTGGTCTTTTGAGCTAGCCAGGTCCATGTGCAACACACGTATATCTGAGCACAGGTGGCCCAAGCTCTCAATGTTATACTTTCTCTTTTCACTTTTATGTGAATGTTCAGCGTAACGTGACATATAACTGACATACAACTGACTCGATTTAAAAAAAAAAAACATCTAAAAATTAATCTAAATCCCGTCTATTTAATAATAATAATAATAATAATAATAATAATAATTATGTAAACACTGTTGAAATAGGTTTTAATAGTTTATTTCTTTACATAATAATAATTATGTAAACACTGTTGAAATAGGTTTTAATAGTTTATTTCTTTTATTTACTCTTACCTTGTAATATACCGATATTGACGTTGAAACCCAGGAGGGAGCCATTATGTAAACACTGTTGAAATA